CGGGCCCGGAGATAGATGCAAGAGCCGCAAAAAGAAAGGTGCCTCCTCAACTTGTGTCTTAGACTCGTCAAAAAAAGAAGCATTTTCTTTTTTCATATTCTTGCAAGAATTATTTTCTTGGACTGGAGATCTGTCGTTAGAAAATGATTCAATCGACCGATCTGAGATACTTTGACAAAAGAAACTTGGCCGCATGGTCTAGATCTGTGAGGCGGGAGGAGTGCTCCGTTATGATGCAGAAAAGATGATGCCTTGTGTTTCAAAACTAAGTCTGCATAATGCATGTTTTGCATCTCAATTGATAAGCTGGGTTATGCGATGTTTATTTACTCTTCTCAATGTCAACTATCAACTACGAGATATTTCACCCCATCACTAGCCTTTAACACTCTCGATTTATTAGCAGGTATGTTTACTTGGGACCGAACCATCTACAGGCTGACTATATTTAAGCTCCCATCGTTCAATTCAGGCTCATCCCTGGATTCTCCTTTGGTAAGATCGGAGTTGAACGGACCAAAATACAAAATTACAAGGATACCTCTAGAAACTACGACATACATTGCACAAGAGACATCAGTCAATCTACTTATTGTTCAATATACGATATGCTGAATATGCTTTGTTATGTATGCTTAGAAAAAATATCGACACTCAATGAAGGTATGTACAGGTATCGTGTCTCCACGCCATCGCTATGCAATATGTAAAATTTACTGGTTCCAGTTGTTGAACTTCCACTTGACGTAGCTGGGGTTGATCTTCTGGATGTCAGGGACACCAAGGTTACCAGCGTCAATAGCAATCTCGTGCTTGAGCAGATCAATGACCTTCTTGACACCGTCAACACCGAAGACGTTGGCGTACATGAAGGGACGGCCAAGACCAACAGCCTTGACACCGAGAGACAGAAGCTTGAGGACATCAGCGCCGTAGCGAACACCACCGTCGGCGTAGACCTCGATCTTCTTGAAGACCTCAGGGGCCTCCTCGTGGATCTCGAGAGCGACCTCAAGACCAGAGGGGCTGCCGTCGAGCTGGCGACCACCGTGGTTGGAGAGGATGATAGCAGGGGCACCGTGCTGGACGGCAAGCTTGGCATCCGCAGCGGAGCCAATACCCTTGATGATGACGGGGAGCTTGGTCATCTTCTGGAGCTTCTTGTAGTAGTCCCAGGTGATGTAGGAGTACTCAGAGTCACTAATTACATGTTAGTCGGGCGTCCATATTCGTCGGAGATATATTACATACGCAGAGCCAACGCCGAAACGAGCAGCACGGTGTCGGTTACCATCAGCGGCAGAGTCGACGGTGAAGACGATGGCGGCGGCGCCAGCCTTCTCGGAGCGGTCGAGGAGCTCCTGGGTCTCGGTGTCGTTGGAGGACAGGTAGAGCTGCTGGAAGACGACCTGGCCCTCGGCCTTGGCCTTGGCAATCTCCTCGATGGTGAGAGAGGCGTAGAGAGCGGGCATGTACAGGATGTCACCCTCGGCGGCACCCTTCACAAAGTTGATCTCGGCATCGGGGTGGGCGTTGCCACCCTTGGCACAGGGGCTGATGAAGAAAGGAGCCGAGAAGTTGTGGCCCAAGATGGTGGTACTACACATATCATCAGTACATATAATTGGTGACACTTGACAGGCAACCTACGGCAGAGTGCTCTCAACGTTGGTGATGTCAACCATGGTACGGGGCTTGAAGCGGTAGCGCTGGAAGACCTCAAGGTTGTTGCGGTACGACCACTCGCCGGCAGCACCGTTACGGTAGTAGGTGTAGTTCTCAACGGGGAGGTAGTTCTGAGCAGCCCACTCAAAGTCGGGAAGACCGACCATCTGCTCAAGCTCAGGGAGCTTGCCAGTTGCGAGGTCGCCTAGGACGAGCTCAAGACCGGTGTCGGGCTGCTCGAGGAAAGGACGGGCAGCCATGGCCCCCGAGACGAGGGCGCTGGCGAGGAGTTGGCTACGCATAGTGGTTGTTAAGGAATGAATGTGATGTATAGAAAAAGAATGAATAGAGTGGGAGAAGGGGTATCTTTGTTGGATCTAAGGGATAGGAAGTAGTGACCAGAGGGCGAGGCGGCTCTTTTAAACTTCAGTGTGATTGCCAGGCCATCTTGATTTAAGGCCCATAACTAGTACGAATACTACCGTACAGAAACATGACCTGCTGTAATGGGATTTCCAAGGATAAGGGTCTTGGACATGTTCCTTGTCTTGGAGCCAAGGATGGAAATACACTCCGTCTGGTCTGTTTAGACTTTGCCGGGAGGCTTGACTCGTTGCACTAACACTAGCACCAATGACATCTATACGTAATGCGATGCAACGGCAGACATCGGCGTGCCGCCGTCTTGGGTCCACTGCCGAAATTGCGCTTGTTGCACCTTTCACTTTATCTGATCCGTGTTAGGTGACAGGTGTGGATGCTTCAATGGGGGTTTGCTTGGGTAGGTATGTGATAATGCAGGATCACGCCGAAGTTGAGGGATTTCACTTGATAAAAGAAACAACAGTTGTTGAATCCATCATACACTACATTCCTGCGAAGTCTTGTGGTTCTATGTCTTGGATGTCCAACAGCTTGGCATGATAGCGAATAGACTCAGGAACTCCGATACGCTTGTAGATCTATTCCATGATTCAAAACCATCAATTGGCCTCTTACAAACAAGGACCTGACACCTACGCTAAATCTAAGCTCCTGGCAAATAACAACGGCTTAAAAGATCCACATAGCGTATCGAATTTCTTGAGTGTATACAGTAGTTCGGTTTACACGGCCACATGTACGCGCACTCAAGCCTTGGCACTCAACGCACCGGTGAAGAGTTCGTCCGCTATCGCAATGGCAACACTGGAGACTATGGAGAAGCAAGGCTGGCTATGGTCGGGCTGATATCGGCAGCTCTCTTGGCGGCATGATCCATGTATGTTTGCATCCAGATCCCATAGTCTCAACGGCGTTGAGTTTAAAACGCGGGTTACCATTACTAGATCGGGCATTGTCGCCCAAAAGATCTTAACCTTGATTCTTGATGAGCTGTGTTTCCTTGCTTCGCATGAACAAAACAATGCTTTGCCCCCTTGCGTTTTGATCCTAGGAATTTGTTTGACCATGGTTTAAGCTTAGAATCGTCACGCCAGACTTAGTATTTAGTGCAACGACTATGACGGATCTTGGTAGCGCGCGGTAACAAGGATTATGAGTCTAGCTTGAGCTTGTCTCTGATCACTAATGCTCACATAACCAGGCATGACTGATATGAGGCAACCCACTGTTACACATAAGGTACCCGGCCTAGATTCCCGGATCCTACCGTCCAGACGAAAAATCTGCTGTTTCACGTCATGAGGAGGGCATGAGACTGAATAATCTCTCTCAGCTCAGGATCGGATGGGGTCGTGGGTCTTGTCGCTGGGATGAATGTCACCTCGCCAAGCTTCTTCGACTATCCCACTCGGCTGCCCGACCCTGATTTTGTAAGCTGGAGTACGTGCGTTTAGAGTTTTACCGTTGCAACTAGTTTAGTTATGCCATGTTAAGACACGAACATGACGTTGCTTCTGAGGCGCAGACAAGGACAATGAGAAGTTTTAGATCTAATGTACAAAATCTTTTGGTCACATTTCACCCCAAGCCTCACAAGATCGCCTTCTAGAAATGTTCTCAAGCAGGGGACAAAGCAAGCCACCCGGATGCGCCGCCCGCAGTGCCATATCGCGATAGCATGGGGTGGGCGCTAGTGGAGACTTCCATCGACGTCCCCTTCATCTCGGCAAGTTTCCTTGAAGAGGCTTCCTCGGCCAGATCCTGTCGGTCAGTTATTCCTCGGTCAATTTTTTCCACTGCCGCAAGGTAATTAGTTACGGCTTGCCTTAGTTAGGTGAGTCTTCTAAGTGCCGGGTTCTCGCTTAAGAATCGTCCCGCCCGCCTGGAGATGAAACTATGGCGCCGGAAGATCCTTTTGTTACAAAAGCCCCCCACGTAATCTCTGGGCGATTCGACATATGTATCCCCTGATCTGTCGCTCGCCTTATCAATCGCTACTGATCTAATCGTGATTTTCCAGCTGCACGCCATTCTTCCGTCAAAAGGAAACATAGCAAAAGAGATTAATCTGGTGCTTTTTATTTTCCACATGGATTCTTTATCCTATACTAAATTAATAGTCCCGCCCGACCTGATGATAATTAGGTATTTAGACAGTGCAGTAAAGTCGTACGATCATAATTGTACACCGAGCTGTATACATCGTGCTCCTGTAGGATGTAGGATTCGATTATCTTTGCCGAGCAGTTTTCTTTTTCTCGTATGAGTGCAATAGCTGGAGAATGATCTGAATATAAAATCCACAATGAGGTAGGAAATAATAGTAGCGAATTTGATAACTTTGTTGCAATACCAGTGTGAATTATGATAAAATCTGAAGTGTCTCGAAGCTGTATGCATGCCTATCATTAGAGCTAACCTAAGTACCTAGCTCAGAATAATCCGCACGCTTTCACACTTAAAGAACAGAATCAACCATACAGAGCTGCTCGAATTTTCCAGGATGAAACAGAGAGGTAAACAGAAGTATAACAGTAGTAAATAACAAAAGCATTAGCTTCACCTTGATGCTACTATTTGAAAACGAAAAGCTTGTTCATTTCTGTAGGGTGGGTGACAGCTCGGACGTGGGATCATATCGCGGAACTTCACTACACGCAGAACGTCGCGCCAAGAGGCAAACCTGAATAGATTGGGATATAGAATCCTGCCATACTTACCGAACGAAATTATGTCAGAAAACGCAATTTTCTAAAACGGTGCAGCTTGTTGCTCACCACAGCACCTACTTTGCTTAGGTCTTACAAAGCGGGAGCAGCCGACGGGCCAGCCCCACAACCTTATTCTTAAAACAGCAAGAAATCATTTTTGACCTTCAAAAAAGACATCACAACAACAATTGTTGTGGTTAATTATATAGCCATTTGGTTGGCAAATTGGGCAAAAGTAATCGTCACCTGCAGGATTCGAACCTACGCGTGCGAACACAATGCCTATCAAGATATCCGGAGATAGCAGGGCATCGCCTTAACCACTCGGCCAAAGTGACTACTTCATTTAATAACAATCCTCGTCAGTTTGGATATTATAGCGTTGAGTTGAGCGGATGGATGCCTTATTGTTACTTCCTTTCCTGATCACTTTCATCACAAATTCCATGACTCAAGTATACGTGGTAATGACAAATGCAAAGGAGTTTTTCAAGTCACGAACTTAAGGATTAATTCCCCGAGGTAGATCGCATACTGTAGTCTTGACGTGTTGCATCACATGGAAGGAAAAGCCAAAAAGCCACAGGCTAATCCTTTATAGGCCATGTTCAAAGGTGTATTTCTAAACACAGAGCCTTAAAACATACAGCTAGTTTCAAATAATCTATCTACTATCCCAACTCCGTCCATTCCAGATACTTGCTACGCAAACATCAGACCAACCTATATGCTTTGGTAACTGGCTAGACAAAAAGTGCCCAATTCCAGCAAGCTTTTGCAATCGCAAAACGTAAACACTACTGGCCAACACAACCTCTGCGCCTATCTTAAATGCTAGATAGTAATACAAGCCAAGAGAGATCTCAATTTAAACGCTGGAGATAACTGACCTCCCATAACAGTTATACAATGCGTTAGTCCATATTGTCAGCTTACTAACACGTCCATAGCGACTGGCTTGAAGCGACCGTCAAGTTCATAGCGGAAGTATTTACAAAAAGAAATACGCAATACAGACACATCCCTGACGTTACGATTCCTTCACAGTACAGTCAGCATCTGGATTTCTACTTCACAATACTCCGCCTACCCAGTTACCCCGACCCCAGCCTCTCATCAACACCATGCTCACAAAACATCACTTTCACCGCCCACCAGATGAAGCTTCTTTCCACGAAGCGGGAAGGGCAAAAAGTTAATCGTCACCTGCAGGATTCGAACCTACGCGTGCGAACACAATGCCTATGATGTCTCGTAGAGATAGCAGGGCATCGCCTTAACCACTCGGCCAAAGTGACTTGTTATTGAAAAGGGCGTTGCAAGAGCTGCTGAACATCTACTCGTCTGGGGATGGTTTGAGTATTGCGCTTCTGTAGATATACTTGTAGTCTTGGTTCAGCATTGAACGGGTAGATGCCAGGCTAATACGAGACACAGGGAGAAAGAGACGTCAGTCTAGTTGCTTGGCCTAGTCAGGTAGCTTCTGTCTCCACCAAAGCTCTTGTAGCGCAGATCAGAGATAAGCCTCACAAGTACAATGAAACAGATCTGAACATCATCATGACCACGGCTAAAATTAACCAAATTCTAATAATACCCATAGAATCCTAGTCTTTCTCTCAGGATAAATTATGCCGCAGGAGTTATTTCGTCCGGTCTTTAAAGCATCACCTTGGCCCAAGGCAGGACTAAGCACGGTCTACTTACTCCGTATACACGAAAAGCAACCTCATCAGCATTGCTCGTCAGCGTCTTATTCCCGTCGTATTGTATTCCGAGTCTCTTTCACGACTCTGCCTTTGCTCTGCCTTTACTCTGCATATCACAGCAGATCCAGATCGTTGATTCATGCCGCATTGAATCAACATTTTGTTGTATTGCTTGCGTAAGTGGGCGTACAAAATTATCAGTTGTTTGGTTAATCGTATGCGAATCCGAGAATAAAGGAGCATAGGCGTCAGTTAAAACATGGATGAGAGCCAATGAAATCATGGTACCTACCTTGGCACCGCTTAATTGTTGGTGTGGCTTAGAGCTCAAGGTCCCCGCTACGTTCCTGATTCGTGACGCTGACGTCGTTCGTTTCAACTCTCCCCCACCAATACCGCCCCGAATCCCGTCCTCCAACAACCTCTATTACCTCCATCACTTATATCTACTACACTGCATTTATTCTTCAGTTCCCTCGAATGATCGATTCAATTTGATTTCCCATCTTTCAATACTTGTGCCTTCGTCGCCATGACAGGCATCGTTGACGAGAAAGCTGCTGCGGGACAGCAGCAGCGTCAACAACCCCGCGATGGCGATAACAGCGGCGCTACAGCCTCAAACGATCTTCAGCTACCTGATATCGACCCTGGCGAAGGCGATAGTGCCCCGCCCCCATACGGAGAGAACCATGATCAAGTTCATTTCTCGCAGCCTGGCTTTGATGCTGGTGCAGCGATAACAGGTACCTGGTGACGGCCCATGACAGAAGCACACCCAGACTAACTCGTATCACTCCATAGGCGACGGTCGAGTCAATATCAATATCAATGCCAAGAACAGGAGACTTACCGACCTTCTCGCACCGACTCTACAAAGTCAACTTGCACCTGAACCAGAACGACCCGATCTTCCCCCCGCATACATTCCCCCAAGCCTTGGAGGCCTCCCCGGACAGACACCACCACCAAAGCTCAATGTCGTTGTACAGATCGTGGGTTCTCGTGGAGATGTCCAGCCCTTTGTCGCCCTGGGCAAAGTACTCAAGGAGACATACGGACATCGAGTGCGAATAGCTACCCACCCTACTTTCCGAAGCTTTGTCGAAGAGAATGGCCTCGAGTTCTTTAGCATCGGAGGAGACCCTGCCGAGTTGATGGCCTTTATGGTCAAGTATCCTGGTTTGATGCCTGGCTTTGACGCTATCACAAGTGGTGAAGTCAGTAAGCGCAGGAAAGGCATCCAAGAGATTCTTATGGGATGTTGGCGATCTTGTATTGAAGGAGGCGATGGACTTGGCCCGCCTCCCAAGCCTCATGCCTCAAATGCTCCTCTCGACGTGTCCTTGGTATCAGACACTCCGGGGCAAGAGCCTTTTGTCGCCGATGCTATTATCGCAAACCCTCCTAGCTTTGCCCATGTTCATATTGCTGAGAAAATGGGCATCCCAGTACACATGATGTTTACGTGAGTACCTCAACTTATTACCATGACATCACAAACTAATTGTTCCTCAGTATGCCCTGGTCTCCAACACGGGCATTTCCTCATCCTCTGGCCAATATTCAATCATCAAATACTGACGATGTTATGACGAATTACATGTCTTACACGCTAGTAGAAATGATGACATGGCAAGGCTTGGGAGATGTTATCAACAGGTTCCGCGAGAAAGCGCTTGATCTCCCTCCGCTCTCGCTTATCTGGGCACCTGGACTTCTTGCGAGACTCAAGATCTCTTGGACATATTGCTGGTTAGTACTTTTTTGTGTATAGTGGAAACCGCTAACTTGACCCAGGTCTCCGGCGTTGATCCCAAAGCCCAACGATTGGGGACGACACATTGATGTTGCTGGCTTTTACTTCCTCAACCTCGCATCATCCTATACACCCGATCCAGAATTGGAGGCATTCTTGCGCGACGGCCCACCTCCGGTTTACATCGGTTTCGGCTCCATTGTCGTTGATGATCCCAATGCCATGACCGAGATGATCTTTGAAGCAGTCAAACTCTCAGGCGTCCGAGCGCTGGTATCCAAGGGCTGGGGCGGTCTTGGTGCTGACGACCTTGGCAAACCAGATGAGGTGTATATGTTGGGCAATGTTCCCCATGACTGGTTGTTCGAACATGTGTCGTGTGTCGTCCATCATGGCGGTGCTGGTACAACTGCTGCTGGTATCAAGGCTGGAAAGCCTACGATTGTGGTACCCTTTTTTGGTGACCAGCCATTCTGGGGTGCCATGATAGCCAGAGCAAATGCCGGCCCCGACCCGGTTCCATACAAGCAACTGACGGCAGAGAAGCTGGCAGAAGCCATTACCTTTTGTCTCAAGCCTGAGACCCTAGAGCAAGCTAAGGTACTGGGCCAGAAGATCAGAGAAGAGAAGGGCATTGATGTAGGTGGGAAAAGCTTTCACGACCACCTGGATGTCGACAAGTTACGTTGCACTCTAGCACCGAGTCGAGCCGCTGCTTGGCGCGTGAGAAGAACCCAAGTACGGCTAAGTGCCTTTGCAGCGGCGGTACTGGTTGAACAAGGCTCACTCCAATGGTCTGATCTGAAGCTGTAAGTCAAAGCACGGAGCGTATAAATGAGCCAAGCTGACAATTTTAGGTATCGCATGACGGAGTACAATACAGAAGAACAACCACCCGATCCGATTTCTGCTTGTACTTTGTCGCTTGTCACTGATATAGGAGGTATTGGAATGGCAATTGCCGACATGCCCAGAGAATTGTTTAAGAGCATGTCGCAGCCAAAGAAAGAAAACCCTTCGCAAGCTCAGAATACGGAAAACCCTGCCGCATCGGAGAGCGAGACCTCTTTGTTGACGCCTCAAGGCACAGAGTCGGATCAGAGATCAATGTCTGTGGCGAGTGCCGCGGATACTGAAACTTTGAACTCTGCAGCCCCTACGACCAGTCACTCTAATGCATCGCAGCCCACATTGAGTGATACAGCATCCAGCGTTTCTGCCCCTTGGTCCCCAGGGCAATCGAGTACTCAAGGATCAGTCAACGATAAATCCTGGAGAGACCAAATCAAGCAAGCAACCAACAAGCAGGGGCGGAGTGGATCACCAGTCAACTACGTGAATGCAGCCGTGGGAACAGGCAGGGGAGTTGGCCGTGTTGTGACCACTGGTGCTAGGACGCCCATGAACTTTTGCCTCGGACTGGCCAGAGGCTTTAGAAACATGCCGAGACTCTACAACGACGACACGATTCGACCGGTTGAGAAAGTAACAGGAGTCGGTTCTGGTTTTATGGTGGCTGGTAAAGAATTCGGCTATGGCTTGTTTGATGGCGTGACTGGTCTGGTAACACAGCCTTTGAAAGGTGCTGAGAAGGAGGGAGTGCAAGGTTTGATCAAAGGATTTGGCAAGGGAATTGGAGGCATTGTAGCAAAACCCGCAGCCGGTAAGTTTGCCGAGTGAAGGACGAGGCACGTTGCTAACTCATTACAGGTTTCTGGGCTATTCCAGCTTACACCATGCAGGGAGTGCACGCTGAGATATCCAGGTACTTTGCCAAGAGTGTCCAGAACTATGTCATCTCATCACGAGCTGTGCAAGGCCAGCATGAAATGCGAGAGGCCACACCTGGTGAAAGAGATGACATTGTTCA